AAAGCAGAGGCTATTTTGCTCATTTTTAAATTAACACCCCACTGGAAAAAATAATAATAACAACTTGCATAGTTAGGAGTGAATAGGCAGATGCCTGTCATAAATGCCACCTCCTCCCCTGTCTGACTTGCTTTCAAAACAGAAACTTTATCTCCTACCAAGACACCGTTTAGATCTCATTTTGAGCAACCTGGAAAGAAAACTGAGAAAATTCCCTACCAGTTAAAAAACAATTGAGCCACCACTGCTAATAACAATATACTGAGTGATGGTAGGTGCTGAAATCTAATTTTATAAGTGCTCTAATAGTTTTCTAATAGCTGCCAAACAATATTCTCCATGTCCACATATGGACAAATATCAAGAGTAGACTCAGCTTGAGGGGAAGTCAAGGCTCAGAACCAATTTGGCACTAGTATACAAACAGGGTTAATGGATCTAAAAGGTAGAGAAGGAAGGCAGCAGCTTGCTCCCAAACTGGGAGGTCAGCAGTGTTCTCCAGGAAAGATGGAGATGCAGACTTCCAGAAACCAAAAATCTCATTCAGAGCACTACAAAGTTATGGATTTAACACCTGAGTGAGGGAGGCTCACATGGCATCTTTAAGAAGCTCATCTGCTCCCCGTCTCTGCCCCAAACCCAGCCTTAAACATACAAGGCTATAGCAGTTCCTCATTTAAGCTATTTTGAATGTATGCTAGAGAGCTCCTCACCTGAACCAGGTGTGTTTCATCAATTAGAGTTACACAATATACAAGGTGACTATGGGACAATGTGGAGACCCCATGCTACAATGTGAGCAAAGTTTTCATTTATTAACATCAATTTCCCTAGAAAGTACATACCTGAACTGAGAGGTGAAGTACTATAAGAGTCAACTGTGGAGACATTGGAGGAAATCATAAAGAAGCTCACTCACTTTAAGTATTTACTGTTTCCCAAAGAAGAATGAGCTTCGTGAAATTTCTGCTTTAGCCAAGGTAGAATAACAGACCAGTTTACCCTTCTACCTCAAACAGCTGAAAAATGAGCAAAATATATAAAACAATGACTTGCAAGACACTGGACCTCAGGCGAAGGCAGTGATCCCTAAGAGAGGAGTTGCGCCCTATGATTGCTCCATCTTACTTCTTTGAGAGTTTTCAGGCCTAGCATAAGGAGAGCCCAGCTGACTTCCAGCTGCTCATGGGGAGGTGTTTCACTGAGGCATTCTACTACAAAACTGGCCGAGGGAAGTGCCAGGGGAAGCTAAGGTCGGTGGGTGCTGCCGCCACCATGCACTGCAGAAGATGGCAGTGGAGAAGGCATGAACATGGCAGGAGGCTGGAAAAGAATCCATCTGCATTGCAAGATCTGAGCATTGTGGCAGCCCAGCCAGTTGTATTCCATGAGTCAGATGACAGGGAAGCTGTCTGTGCTACCAGGCACTGGCAGAGCTAAATGACTTGCAAAACGCACACTCTGGGGACACTACATGCACTGCAGGAACCACACACAACCTCTTGCTCTGCAACAGCCTGGCACTACATAAGCCTTGTGCATTGCAAGAGCGTGCATTTGCAAGCAGGCTGGAAGGGAGAAGGAAAACCCCTTTCTCCTGCAGTGTCTCTCTAGCGCCCTCTACTGACAAAACTAAGCATGGTTCCTGCAGGCAAAGAGAAAACATAACAAAAGGTCCATTAATTTTCTCAGCGCAGTTAGTAAAGGGTGAATTGGAACGGAGAGGCAATGAATTGATTTTATTTAGACATTGACGCAGTGATTATAAATCTCATGTGGAAATTCAAAGGGCCTACCATAGCCCAAACAACTATGAAAAGGAACAAAGTTAGAGAACATCACTTGATTTCATAAGTATTATAAAGCTAGTGTAATCAAGACAGTGCGATATTGGCTTAAAAAATAGACCAAATAGATCTATAGAACAGAATGTATCGTGAATCCAGAAATAGACTCACACAGATAAGGACAATTAGATTTCAACAAAATTTTCAAAGTAATTCGGTGGAGAAAGGGCAGTCTTCTCAGAAAATGGTTTTAATCTTCTCTGAAGAAAAAAATATTCTTCAGAAAATGGCTAAAACAACTGGATATTTATATCCACAGACACACAAAATGAACTGAGATCCATACTTGACATTATATACATTGTAAGACTCAAATAGGTGAAAATGGGTAATGAAGCTAAATGTAAAATCAAAGATTTTTTTTAAACTTCTAGAAGAAAATATAAGTGAGCCAGTTGCAGTGGCTCATGCCTGTAATTCCAGCACTTTGGGAGGCCAAGGTAGGAGGATTGCTTGAGGCCAGGAGTTTGAGGCTGCAGTGAGCTATGCTTGCACCCTGCACTCTAGTCTGGGTGACAGAGAAAGACCTTGTCTCAGAAAGGAAAAAGAAAATATAAATGAAATTTTCGTGACCTTGGGTTTGGCAAAGACTTCTTAAATAAGACATCAAAAGAATGACTGGATTAGATATAACCCATAAAAGAATAAATTGATGAATTAGAAACTTCTGCTCTTCAAATGTGTTTTTAAGAGAAAGAAAAAACAAAACAAGCCACAGACTGGGCTGCAAATTATATATCTGACAACTGAAATGCCCAGAATGTGTAAAGAAACCTTAACATTCAATAAGAGAACAAACAACTCTATTTAAAAACTTGGCAGACAGTTTAAGCAGACACTTTGCCAAAGAAGATAACTGATGGCAAGCACATAAAAGATGCTTATGATCCTTAACCATTATGCAAATGCAAATTAAAACAACAAGAAGATACCACTACTCATCTATGAGAATGGCTAAGATTTAAATTCTCAATTCTACCAAGTGTTGGTGAGAGTGTGGAATAACTAAAACCCTCATGCACAGCTGTATTTTCCACTTTAGAAAACAGAGCTAAATGACTTGCAAAACTCACACTCTGGGGACACTACATGCACTGCAGGAACCACACACAACCTCTTGCTCTGCAACAGCCTGGCACTACATAAGCCTTGTGCATTGCAAGAGCAAGCATTTGCAAGCACGCTGGAAGGGAGAAGGAAAACCCCTTTCTCCTGCAGTGTCTCTCTAGCGCCCTCTACTGACAAAACTAAGCATGGTTCCTGCAGGCAAAGAGAAAATATAACAAAAGTCCATTAATTTTCTCAGCGCAGTTAGTGAAGGGTGAATTGGAACGCAGAGGCAATGAATTTGAGAGCCCACACCTGTTGTGTGAGCTAGTGACTCTCCTCCTATGTACTGACCAAGAGAAATGACAGGGTATATTCATACTCATACCTGTACACATGTATCCATTGCACCTTTATTTGTAATTGGCAAAAACTGGAAAGAACCCAAATGTTATTCAGTAGGTGAACGTATTTTTTAAAACTGTGGTATATCCATACACTACACAGCCACGAAACGAAATGAACTATTAGTGCACACAACTACATGGACAAATCTCAAAATAATTATGTGGAGTGAAAGAAACAAAAAATCACACACCTTACAATTCTGTTATATAAAATTCTAGAAATTGCAAAAGAAGGTATAGTGACCGGAAGCATATTAACTCTTGCCTAGGGACAGGGAAAGGAAGCAGTGGGAGAGATTACAAAAAGGGATTACAAAAAAGCATAAGGAAGCTTTCAGGGATGATGGAAATGTTCATTTTCTTAATTGTATGATGATTTTACATCATATAATCTCATGGAGTTTTACACTATAAATAAGTTCAGTTTATTATATATCAATTATATCTTCATAAAGTCTTTTTTTAAAAAACAAAGAATTATTTTTCCTTCCACACTATCATCCCATTGTGTTAACTTATCTGACTGATTTTACAATTTTTACCAAATAGACAAATTAATGGAATGAAGAACTAGTTACATGCAGGCAAAAACTTTACCTCATGAGTACATAAAAGAACATGCTAAAGGCATTACTCATGTTACTCGAAGAACTAGGACAAGTCCCAAGAAATAATGTGATGACATTGTACAGTTTACTATCTTGAAATATGCTGCCAAAGATTCAGAAATCAAAGTGAGGGAGAACCACCAGAGCAGAGGATTCTATTCATGAGGTGAAGCTATAGACTTCTACAGAAAGAGAAAAGCCGTGCTTTTCTTCTTACATTTCAAAACATATAAAACAAAATAGTCACTTTGTAAAATAAGTGTTGACCATTTAGTTCTCAGATAAGTTAGAAATGATACACTGCTGGTGAGAGTGTAAATTAATTCAGCCATAGTAGAAAGTAGTGTGGTGATTCCTCAAAGGGCTAAAAACAGAACTACCCTTCGACCCAAAGATCCTATTACTGGTTATATTCCCAAAGAAATATAAATCATTCTATCATCAAGACACATGCATTGGTATGTTCATTGCAGAACTATTCACAATAGCTAAGACACAGAATCAACCTAAATGGCCACCAGTGGTAGACTAGATAAAGAAAATGTGTTATATGTACACCATGGAACACTACACAGCCATAAAAAAGAATGAGATCATGTCCTTTGCAGGAACATGGATGGAACTGAAGGCCATTATCCTTCCCAAACCAACACAGGAACAGAAAAACGAACACCTCATGTTCTTACTTATAAGTGGGAGCTAAATAATGAGAACACGTGGACAGAAAGAGGGGAACGACAGAAACTGGGGCCTGCTTGGGGGAGGAGGCTGGGAAAAGAGAAAGGTTAGCAAAAAAAAAAACCTGGCAAGTACTATGCTTAGCACCCAGGTGACAAAATAATCTGTACACCAAATCCCCAAGTCATGTGTTTACCTATATAACAAACCTGCACATGTACCCCTGAACCTAAAATGGAAGTTAAAGTATTTTTTAATGGAATTGTAAGAAAATACCTTTTATCTCTTCTGCACCTCTTCTGCTGTTTAACATTGCCTCATAAATTGTTTTTCACAGCTGTTTTGATTCAGTTTGATTCAGTGTATTGACATCGGTTTTCTCTCTCTTTCCTCTCTGTGTTTTGATATGCCAGATGTATCGTTAAGATTACTGGAGAAATGGTGTTGTCATTTCCTGCTGGCATCACCAGACACTTTGCCAACAACCCATCCCCAGCTGCTCTGACTTTTCGGGTGGTAAATTTCAGCAGGTTAGAACACGTCCTGCCAAATCCCCAACTTCTCTGCTGGTAAATATGATTTTGCATAAATTTTTCAGAGATATATGTGGCTTAGTACTTTGTACTTAGATGAGGGATATATCTTAGCAAGAGAGTCGCACTATAGTGAAATTACCACCACTCAGATATATTTGTAGATTCAAACATGGAATCTACCAGCTATCAAAATTTGTTGTGGGTGATTGTGTATGTGTGTGACTGCATATGCATATACATGTTTTAATGGCCGACTATCTCAAGTGGTTAGAGAGACAGAGTAAGAACATCTGTATCAGCAACAGTTTATTCATTGTCTGTTTTACTCATTATCAACAGACAGTGGATGACAATGGCGGGAAATGAGCCAAATAACAAGAATAAAATCCTTTCATTGTATGAGCATCTTTTTATTTTTATTTTATTTCATTTTATTTTATTTTTGAGATGGAGTCTCACTCTGTTGCCTAGGCTGGAGTGCAGTGGCACCATCTCAGCTCACTGCAACCTCAGCCTCCTTGGTTCAAGTGGTTCTCCTGCCTCAGCCTCCCAAGTAGCTGAGATTACAGGTGCCCACCACCACGCCTGGCTAATTTTTGTATTTTTAGTACAGATGGGGTTTCGCCATGTTGGCCAGGCTGGTCTCAAACTCCTGACCTCAAGTGATCTGCCCGCCTCAGGCTCCCAAAGTGCTAGGATTGCAGCCTTGAGCCACCGCGCCTGGCTTTCTCTTTAAATCAATTGTGTGTGTAGGTGTGATTGTGCATGTGCAGATGCATAATAAAGACATCAAATACAGGTTTAATATTTAATACAATTTCATTATAATGATCATTGCTTTGATGGAACTTTACATGTATGACATAAAATAAACTTTTGCAAATCTGTTTATATAAATATAATTTTCACATTTTCTAGCTATTAAACCTGAATTTGATGTCTTTATTATGCATATGCACAGTCACACAAACCCACATGCATGCATGCTATTAAAATGGTCAATTATACAAGTTAATTATTTGCAGTGAATGAGCTGAAAGGAGTCTTCTTGACAGCTTCTCCATCATGAAGTCCTGATGGTCATCTACAAAGCTCTGTCTGAAGTGGCCACTTTTCTCTTTACTGCCACCTCCCTTGTCCAAGTGACCACTGTCTTTTCCCCGTAGCACTGCAATTGCCTTCTTCTCTCCCTGAATCCAATCTTGCCCGTCTCCAGTACATTTTAGCAGCCAGGTGGTCTTTTATGAGTAAATCAGGTCATCTTCGTTCACAACTCCCTGGTGGCTTCGTATTACCCTTGTCCCAGAATCTAAACGTGTTACCATTGCCTTTGAGGCCTTGAGTTATTTACCTTGTCTGCCTCTCTGTTCTCATCTCCCACCATCCTGCCTCAGAATCCTTTTAGCTCCAGCAAGACCTGTCAATCTCAGAAACAGGCTGAGTCCTTTCCCACAACACGGCTTTTAGTACGTTTCCTCTGCCTGGAATACTATTTCAACCTTCTTCACCTGACTCCAACTCATCCTTTAGTCTCAGCTCTACTCTGCCTCTGACACTATCCCATTCTCCTCCCCAGACCCCCACCAACCAGCCCTAAACTAGTAGTTTGGTGCAAAAGTAATTGCAGTTTCTACCATTACTTTTAAATGACAAAAATCACAATTACTTTTGCGCCAACCTAATAAATTCTGTCCTCTTGTTATTCTCTCTAAAGGTACCCTGTTCTTTTCCTTTCAGGCACTTACTACAGTTAATAATGACATATCTATTTGTGTTTCTTCATTCATCCATCTGCCATACAAGACTGTGCAAACCATGAGGGAATGGAAAAAGTCTCTTAATTCAAATTCTTGCTTCAGTTTCCCTCCGTGTTTTGATTGCGCACGTTGAGCCAATTTATTTTTCAAGGTTCTTCCATCGGAAATTAGGAATTATGTGCCAATATCTTGCCAGTTTGTTTGTAAATATGACTGGTGTCATAGTTACAGCTTTTGTTGCATTTTTAGGCAGTTATGTTGCCAAGTTCTTACGCATATGTGCAAAAGTTGTATACATGTATTAACATATTGGTCTTATACATAGAATCAAATATCACTCAAAAGGGTTTTGCTTACCAAAATATTATATAGACCCTTAAATTATTATTTGCAAAAGTAAAAAAAAAGAAAGAAAGAAAATATATCACATTAATTTGGATCTTATGAACTCTAAATATTTAATCACTATAACAGGGCTATGATGAATGACCCTTTAGTCATCTATAGACTCTTTAGTTTTGTTATGCAGTGCCACTCCACTACCTCGACCACCACAACCATCCCCAGTTTTTAAAAAGGTGTTGTTGACCAGGCATCATTCTAGATTGCAGTCCCAGCCTTTAGTGTCTATCATCAGCCAATTGTTTCCTTAATGTTTACTGAAGAAGACTTCATATGTGACCATGGCCCCTGGACATTTTGGTTTGCAATCCCTATGACAGGGGTCAAATTGAAGATTACGTCTACTTTTTTCTTGTGAAAAAAGTTTTGCTTGTAAAAAATATGCGGGAACAAATGTCAAGTCAAATACGAGACTGAAGAATGCTCAAGAAGCCTTGAGCATTTAAGAATTCCATCCCTGTGTAAGCATTTGATTGGCAAAGCTTTCTTGGATATTTTTTAAAGCAGGTTCTCTAAGAAATTATCACAGACCTACGACAACTTATTTTGCTATTAAACTCAGCAAATGTATTTCTTTAAAATTGTTTTATATAATTGAGGATTTCCCAATTATTCAAATCTACTTAGTACAAATTAATGATATGATGCTAGATATTAATTCTGAACCTCTGTTTTGGCATAGTGGGAAAGTGTACAACTGATATGGGCTGGAATCTGGCTCTGTTTCTTATTAGCTGCATGACCTTAAGCAAATTATTTAATTTCACTGACCCTCTGTTACTCTTACCTCCTGCCTGCTTGTGTAGCAACAGCTTGGAGAGCTTGGGTAACTTAGATGCTTTTCAATTAAAACACTCAGATAGCCCTTATCAGCATCCCTAGCTCAGCCGACAAGGGGCAAAGTCTTCAGGACAACATGTGTTTTCCACCCCCTTCCTCCATTTCCAGGGCCAAAGAGCTTTACCTCGTCCTCAATAACCTTATATCCAAGGACAGCAAAACCACACTGGTCACACTGAGACTTGGCCACCCTTTCCTAACAGATCAGTGACAGTTTTAAGGCCCTGGTGTTTTTTACTCAGCTTTCTTGATTTATAGGAATTCTGGAGACTGAATCATAGCAACTTGCTTTTGACCTGTCTTTTCAATTTTTCACTGTATCAGTCTTCTCTCTTCTCAACCCCGAATTTTCTCTTTTTATAACAAGTTTGCTCATCTTTAGAAACAAAGACAATAATTCTTCCTTTGTAGGGTAGATTTTAATGAAATAGTTTATAATGCCTAGCATATAATAGGTGCTCAAGAAATTATAACTACTGTTATTGTACTATATAGGATATTCTGAAAGTGAAATGTCAGCAAATGTGTGTGACAAGTAACTGAATCACTTGTGGCTTTAGCTTCCTCATTATATGGGAAATGAGTTATATGTTTGTACACTCTTGCCTGATTCTTTTTATCACTGAGATGAGCATTTGCAAGATAGATTGGGTAAGTGGTCTGTATACAGGCCTCTGAGCAAAGCTAAGACTCTCATAGGGATAGAAAACTTCTTAGCTTGTAAAGATTCTGCTCTTCTTCTGTATTATAACTACAATGATTGTCATTTAAACTCCAGGATCGTCTTATAAGTGAAGTGAAATCTTTGATGATTTAAATGCTCATGGATGAAATATTATGAATGCTGAAAAGGTAGCATGGTAATTTTAGTATCACTGTTTTCTGCTTAGTTGGTGATAAAGGCCATGTTTACATTTGGTCAAATATTTCACTAGATAATTTCTGAGAAACTACTGGTCAAAGTAATTCAAAAGTAAATAAATGTATTCAGTTCCTTAATTGCATTAACTGACTAATTTAGACAAAACTGGTGCAGTAGAAAGGGCTATTAAGTTTGAGTTAATAAATAATTCACTCTTGAAAGCACCCAATTATCGCTGCAATTAGTTAATATTACTGAGCACTCACTGAGACTGATAGCAACACAGTAGCTCCTCCCTGTGGATATTAATCTACCAACACAAGAGCATTCAGAACTGTATTTGTACGAAAACCACACCACTGTTAATAGATTCATAATAATCTCTACAAATTGTCAAAAGATGGCTCTACATATCAGAAGACAATTTGCTAAGATGCTTCTTGTAGGGTTTGTATTTGTTTTAAGATGCTACTCAATCATTTTTCTTCCCAAATGAACAGTGATAATACACAAAATGATGCCAATACCAAGGAATTCTGGGTAAACATGCCAAATTTGATGACTCACCTAAAGAAAGTGTCTGAACAAAAACCCCAGGCTACATATTATAACGTTGACATGCTCAAATATCAGGTAAGCCTATTTACATGGTCAGTATCTCTTTCACATGACATACTTCTTGTCTAAAGTACCTGTTATTGAATAAAAATAACCAAAGTAATGCTTCTTTTAACATTATTTAAAAGCTATAACTCATTTTTCTAAATGGAAACTTTAAAAGACAACTTGGGGACTACTGACAAAAATATTCATACATGTTCTTATTAGTTTAAGCTTACAAGTAAAACATTTTATCACAAAATTAGAGAAATGTGCCACAAAAAAGGAAGTCGCAGAACATTATACTAATTAAGATTATAAGTTTATATTGATAAACAAGATGATTATAATTTTGTTAAGAACATTACTATACTACAACCTCTTATTTTAAATGATTCAATGTAAACAATCTGCTTTCATTTTTCTAGTAAGAGAGTCCTATGAAAGAATTCTAATAAAATCTAACGTTAAGAAATAGTTCAATAATAAAGCAATGTTTGATACATACAATATATGAGAACTTTCTTTTTGTGTCTAGGATTGACCTTACCTCAAATTATTATTCATACCGGGATCCTGATAGTGCCTGAGTCTCTCATTGATTCCCAGCCACTTGACTGACTGGATTTTTTTTCTTTTTTTTTTTTGAGACAGAGTCTCACCCTGTCACACAGGCTGGAGTGCAGTGGCACAATCTCAGCTCACTGCAACATCCACCTCCCGTGGTCAAGCGATTCTCCTGCCTCAGCCTCCTGAGTAGCTAGGATTACAGGCGTGCAGCAGCACGCCCTGCTAATTTTTTATATTTTTAGTAGAGACAGGGTTTCACCATGTTGTCTATGCTGGTCTGGAACTCCTGACCTCAGGTGATCCACCCGCATCAGCCTCCCAAAGTGCTGAGATTACAGGCGTGAGCCACACCACCAGCTGACTGCCTAGATTTTTTTAAACCTTTTTATTTTTTAATTGACAGGTACAATTGTATATCTGTATTAGGTACAACATGATATTTTGAATATATGTGTTGTGGAATGACTAAATTAAACTAACATATGCATTACCTCACATAGTTATTTTTGTGATGAGAACACTTTCCATTCACTGTCTTTAGCGTTTTTCAATAATACAGTATATGGTTATTACCTATAGTCACCACATTATGCAATTGATCCTTGAATTTCTTCCTCTCATCTAACTGAAGTTTTTTGTCCTTTGAGCAACATCTCCCTAAACAAACCCCCACCCCAACCACCTCCACCACCACTACCTCAGCCTCTGGTAACCACCATTCTACTCTCTAATTCTGTAAGATCAACTTTTATTTTTATGTTTATTTTATTTTATTTATTTAGTTTTTTGAGATGAAGTCTCGCTCTGTTGCCCAAGCTGGAGTGCAGTGGCACGATCTCGGCTTATAGTAGCATCCACGTCCTGGGTCCAAGCGATTCTCCTTCCTCAGCCTACCAAGTAGCTGGGATTACAGGCACGCACCACCATCCTGGCTACTTTTTGTATTTTCGATAGAGACAGGGTTTCACCATGTTGGCCAGGCTGGTCTCGAACTCCTGGCCTCAGGTGACCCCCTGCCTTGGCATCCCAAAGTGCCACTGTGCCCTGCCAAGATCAACTTTCAAATATTTTACATAAGAGTGAGATCATGTGGTATTGGTCTTTCTGTGCCTGGCTCATTTCATTTACCATATTTTTAATGCATTATGATTTTTGATTAAGTATGTTCAGATTAATTCTCTTAAAATGAAGAAAGTTGTACTTTAATAAAAATCAGGATATCTCAAACTCGACTGTGTTTCTCAATCAAATGCCGGTTCTGAATTGATGCTAAAAAGAAATATACATTATATATATTTAAATATATATATATTTATTTATAATAGTTATATATACTATATTTATAAATATATTTATTTATACAAATATTTTAAATATATCTATAAATATTTTAAAATATTATATAAAATATACAAATATATAAATATGATGTATTATATGTGAATATAATATATAATATATTATATGTGAATATATTATATGTGAATATATTATATATTATATGTAAATACAGGTAGATATCATTATTAAATATACATGTAATATATGTATATTTGGGAGTGTTAGGACCTAGCAGATACATATATATATTTAATTTTTTTATTTTATTTAATTGGTTTAGAATGCAATCCAAGTATCTGTACTTTGTGTAAGTTTCTCAAGGGAGTCTATGCATCCTATGCTTTGGAAAACATTTATTTAAATTGTTGTAAGGAAACCATTTAAAGTGAAATATCTATATAATGGTATATTTTCCAAAAATGCAAAAGAATATAATTTTTCCTTGTGAGAATAGTATATACTCTTCAAACATTATGGATAATACTGAAAAAATATGTAATATGGTATAAATTCATCACTTACAAATTAAAATATAATAGAAAACACATTTTATATAACATTTTCCCAAAATATTTTAAAATGCTTAGTGACTGCTTTATGCTTTGAGAGAAATGAAAGGAAATAAGAAAGGAAAACTCTAAATGTAATTCTTTTTCTGAATGAGAAATTAAATTTCAAGGCAGAAGTTAAATTTCATGTATGGTTTGCATCCCCAAAGTGTGAAAATAAGATGGCAGTTCCTTTCCTTCGTGGACGCTAGTTATATACACTGCATGTACATCTTCACTTCAGATAAAAAAAAATTTTAATCATTAAATCCTATAGAGTTTTTTCATTTCCATGTTTGTTATTAAGTAAATCTAGAAATTAGACAGGATTCACCTATTGCAGTATGAACTTTGTGTAAAGTATTAAAGTGTAGTCAAGGGCTGGACATGATGGCTCACGCTTGTAATCCTAACACTTTGGGAGGCTGAGACGGGAGGATCACTCGAGCCCAGGAGTTCGAGACTAGCCTGGGCAACATAGTGAGACCCCGTCTCTACTTTTTTAAAATAAATAAAGTGTAGGCAAGATACTGAATTCTAGAATTAAGTCAGCTTTCTACTGGCCACTGACATAGGTACTTAATATCCCAGAACCTCAGTTTCCTCATCTTCAAATAAGGGTAATAATGATATCTACCTATTTTATAGCTTGCTATAAGAAGTTAATAGCCTAATATATTTCAAAGTAATTTGTGAAATGTAAACAGCCCAAGACTTGCTGCTTTATTTTAACGTGTGCTCTGAGGAATCCCTTTTGCTGTTATTTAGCTGTGTTTTTGTTGTTGTTTTTTAACAATGCAAGGAATTGGGTGGAGAAGCACAACTAGCATTTTGTGGAACTGCCCTTAAACGCAGCACATTTAGTTTCTGGCCCAAAAGCATCCCCTAGAAATTGGGGCAATCAAAAACACATTTTCATATATCCAAAAAGCACCTCCCCAGGTAGAGGAACTATAATCAGGTTGAGAACTACTGCTGAAGACAGAGTTCAGAAAAAGGGGTGGGGGAGGGGGATTCTGCTCTGCTTTTGATCTGCTTTAGTTAATAGATTTCTAAATAAATGTTTGCCTGCAGAAAGCATTATGCTGCCAATCATCTTCAAAGTTTAAAAACTATAATGGTTAACTAGCTTAAATTGTCATCAAAAGCCGTATCTGTCATTTTATAAAAGAATCCATTTTGGGGCTTGTTTCTGCCACAGCCACTCCTGCCTTCAGAGTTCAATCTACCCTCAGGACCCTTCTCCATGGTGATCATATGTGCAGGCATTTCCTAGACAGTTGTTTATATCCTTCAAAATCAGCAAAGCTCATCACACTCCATGAATAAAAATCCAAGGGCATAGACACCACTCATCTGATCCCTGCAATGTACATGTACTTGTGAGAGGTGACTTTCTTAGAGACTTATTCAGCGCCATAATGAATGATCGAGAAATTGTAACACTGTAAATTTTTCGCTATGGACCCAGAATTCACATCAATATTATTGTCTTTAGATCAATGTTTGTTGATTCTTCAAACCTGGCTTTTTCCTGGTCAAGCTCACAGCTGATTCTATTTAGTATCGACAGTAGATTCCAGCGCTGTAGCACTTCCAGCTAAAGGAATCCCAAAGGAAGTAAAAACTGGAAGTAACTTCCATCTACTCCCTTTGGGATTTGCCAAAGTAAGGACTTGAAACCAGGTATGAAATCCCAAAGGAGTAATAATAACTTACCCTAGTCTAACTCACTGGTTTGTTGTTGAAGAGAAAATATGGTAAGAATATTAATAGGTGGCATTTATCAAAATGTAATTCCTAGTGTGTGCTAGGCATCCTGCTGAGTGTTTCACAAAAAAAAAATCTCCTTCAATCTTCCTGACAACTCTATAGGTAAATATTATTGTTGTAATTCCCATTTAGCAGATGAGGAAAGAACTGAAGCTCAGAGGGGTTTAGGGACTTGTCCAAGATCACTCAGCTTATAAGTGGAGCAGCAGAATCAGAATTCACACCTGGGACTGTCTAGCTTCCTGGCCTCAGCTCCCAGCCAGTGTACTATTCCACCTCCTTAACTGACATGAAGTGTACTGGAAACTCCAAAGTGCCACTGACACTAGTAGCTGCTATTTTTAGTCTGTAACAGTTTACCTGAAGCACCCAGCTCTCTCTCACAGCACCCTTCACGGTGCCTGTCACTCACAGTTGCTTGTGAGCAGCATAAACAACACTATGACATTTTGATGTCTAAGAACATCCCTGTGGGAGAAAATCATAGCTTCTGGTTTTGTTTCAGATTATTGGTCGAGCCTTAAATATTCTCTTCCCTGTCATTTGGCAAGGTGTCTGCCCAGGGCATTCAGTCCACGCCCCTGAACCTGGCAGTGAATTGGCGATGTGAACCTTCAAGCACTGACCTGCGCATAGATTACAAATACAATACAGATGCAATGACGACCGCTGTGGCCCTCAACAATGTGCAGTTCCTGGTCCCCATCGATGGAGGAGTCACCAAGCTCCAGGCGGTGCTCCCACCAGCAGTCTGGTATGAAGCCTCCTGTTCTCTCCACCAAAGGGCTCCTCTGGGTCAAGGGGTCATAGACTTCTTAGAGCTTGTGTGTCCTGTAGGAGGAGATGACAGCGGGCCTGTGTATTAGGGTTCAGGGCAGGAAATAGAAACCGCTGGTAGCTATTTTAAGCAAAAACTAATTCAACAGGGACTTCAATGCTCACACAATCGTGGAAGTGCTAAAGAAACAGGCTGGATCTCCAAAAATGCCTCCCAGAGCTCTACAGAACTGGCCTGCCACAATCCAGGGAAGGGGAGAAATTAGAAGGCCACCGGTAGAGCCACAGCATTCAAGAAGCCACAGCTGTAACTCTGATCCTAGGACCAGCAAGCTCCTATTGGTACCTCCTTAAGTGCTTCTTGGCACCCACAAATTAGAGGCTAGAGTGGACCCCTGGTGTTAGAAGATCCCCACATCAGAGTTAGACTGCTGGTCAGAGGAGAACAGTCAAGAAAGCTGCGGGAGAATGGCCTCTGCCTCCTTTCTGTCTTCTAAATCTCAAACCGTGCATGCAATTGGTAAACCTAATTTGTAACTAGGACCCTAACTGCAAAGGCCTCTGAGAAATGTAGTGTTTCATTTTGTAGCCTCTGAACTATAAAAAGGCACACTAGAGAAGGTATGGGACTAGAAACTGAATAGATACATTGTGCCTATATCATCTGTTATATAGGACTTGTTCTAGAAAGAGCATTTCATTTTTCCACATGACTGTCAGAAGCAGAAACTGGAATTTGTTTTAAAAATGAATGTCAGTGGCTTAAGCCTGTAATCCCAGCACTTTGGGAGGCCGAGACGGGCGGATCACGAGGTCAGAAGATCGTGACCATCCTGGCTAATACGGTGAAACCCCGTCTCTACTAAAAAATACAAAAAACTAGCTGGGCGAGGTGGCGGGTGCCTGTAGTCCCAGCTACTCGGGAGGCTGAGGCAGGCGAATGGCGTAAACCCGGGAGGCGGAGCTTGCAGTGAGCTGAGATCGCGCCACTGCACTCCAGCCTGGGCAAGAGAGCGAGACTCCGCCTCAAAAAAAAAAAAAACAAAAACAAAAAAAGGATGTCAGCCAGATCATGACCCCAATTTAAATTACCTTAATTAATTGATTAACTAATACTTCCATCTATCTTCCCATGTATGTTTCAGCAAATTTATTTTTTTTTTTTTAATTTTAGCTCTACTTTGTCCTCTAAATATTCATTTTACCGTTTTCTAGCTAGTTACAATAAGGACAGGGAAAAAAGAGATTTATGTATGTTTGGGAGGGGAGAGAGAGACAGGGAATTTTAAAATTGTAGTGAAACTTTTCAAGCTCTATTTTTAAAAATTAATACTATCTGGAAAAAAAAAAAACAGCATCCACTAAACAAAAACTCTTGGATATGCAAAAACCTTTTACCTAATTCATTTTTAGGAATGCTGAACAACAGAGAATATTGTGGAAGATTCCTGATATCTCTCAGAAGTCAGAAAATGGAGGTAATGGAATCACAAGCTTATTTTATTTAACATGTAAAGCTAAAATGGCTTTTAGGTATTTGCCAACTATTACCCAAAACATGTAGCAATAAAAACAAGCAGAATATTTCACTCCATTTTTACATTTACTTATTTCAATTAATAAAAGCAAATAATTCTTCAATCAATTCTCTTTTACCCCTTTTCTACAGACTCATCAAACTATCGTTTAGGCCTTTTAAGGAGGCATGTTTTCATCCTGTGTCAGATTCCACACTCCCTGATTAGACATTTTTCACTCTCCTCAGATATTAATCATAGGTTGGAAAATACAAGGGCTTCCAAGTAGCACATCTTCAAATTTTGAGGTACCATCTCACGAAAGTACACTTTTACCAGTGTGCAAATAGAGTTGCTCATAATATTCAATGATAAACTTCATTTAATCACCATTTTGTCAATGAAGTCTGATTTTGTATGTTAATTTTTGAATGCAATCTCCAAAATTATATCCAGAATATTACATTGACTGTTACCTTGTAATAATGTTTGTTTGTTTTTTTTAGGGGTGGGTTCTTTGTTGGCAAGATTTCAGTTATCTGAAGGCCCAAGCAAACCTTCTCCATTGGTTGTGCAGTTCACAAGTGAAGGAAGCACCCTTTCTGGCTGTGACATTGAACTTGTTGGAGCAGGGTATCGATTTTCGCTCATCAAGAAAAGGTTTGCTGCAGGTAAATGAGTATCTTGATTTTTTTTATTTGCATAAATAATGTTGCCTTAGCTACTCTTCCTTAAGAGGAATAGATTGTGATTTTCTCATCTTTTTCCTCCACCTCTTTTCCACTCCCAACCCCCATCCCAATTAGAAAACAAACCAGGTATTGAATGAAGTAGAAATAGGACAATGAAATAGGACAGTGAATCAGAAGTCGGAAGGCTCTGACTTCTAACTCTGTTTCTTAAGTGGGACTAGTTGTTCCCATTATATAGATGTATATACTGAGGTTAATGGAGTAAATCCTACTTTTATTATATTGATGAACGAGACAAATACTGTGTGCTTTTTTTTTTTTTATTTTTTTTTATGGTGAGCTGCAAGCTCCACCTCCCAGGTTCACGCCATTCTGTCTCAGCCTCCCGAGTAGCTGGGACTACAGGTGCCCACCACCAAGCCCGGCTAATTTTTTGTATTTTAGTAGAGACAGGGGTTCACCGTGTTAGCCAGGATAGTCTTGATCTCCTGACCTCGTGATCTGCCCACCTCAGCCTCCCAAAGTGCTGGGATTACAGGCGTGAGCCACTGCCCCCAGCCTTGCCTTTTAATGTATCTCCCACCTGAAAACTTTTTATTCTCTGACAGGGCTTCATAGAGTTTAGACTTGTCAGGTTTAGCTGAGATCTGGGAGAATCTATTTTTCATTTTAATCACAAACTCAAAGAATCTAGGCCACAGATCAAAAATGGTCACCCATAAGCTGAATGTGGCCATGAGACAAGTTTTATTTGGCACACACCATGGGGTTTTGTTTTGTTTTTCAATTGGGGGAGAGGAACTCTCTAATACTAGAGTGATTATACTTTTCAGTGATTTGCTGGGATAAATCCTGGTTTTTCATGCCTGTTGTACTGATGTAATTATTAATTATACCCTTTTCACTCTCGAAAATGATCCAAGTTGGAAAATAAGTTATATGAGCACCCTTTCTAAAATAAGTTGCATTCTCACATCCAGAAATAAATCTCCCAATCTATCCTGGGCAAACCCCAAACCTCTGCAAATTGTGGATCTATGGAAATGTGAAAAGTCAACTAGCCGATCTGAAAAATTGAAAATTGATTTGGAAACATTATGTATCTTTTATTTGTATTGCACCTCTAAAGTATGCAGTATCTGGCTCCTAGGGGTAGGGAAGGAGGAATAGAAATGTTACCCATATAATAATTACATTATTGAACTAGCAGATAACGTGTTAACATGTTGTTTTGTTTTGCAGGAAAATACTTGGCAGATAACTAATAATATCTTATGCAAGGATTTGGAGGATTCATATAATGGAGAACTGATGTATGAGAAACAGGTTTTAATTTTGGTTTGATGAAAACAAACCAATATCTGCACTTGGGATATATCAGGTGGAAAGTCAATGACTTTCAGCTGTGATTTCCCTCACACAATACCATGATGACCAGTCCTACAGTATTTACTTCTAGGTGTAATATTGTTAATGGTTTTAAAATGTAATTATTGTATTTGTAAATTGTACTCTCATTCCAGTAAAGCAGTTAGACACTTGAGTTTTAGCATTTTACCATTCCTGAAATGGATGTAATTCAAACTGTGGTATGTAAATTTAATAGTAGTATTGTTGAATGGCACAATGCTTACAGAGGTAGATTGCATTTTGTCAATATATAAAATTTAAATATAATATTGATAGCTGTCATAAAGGGGGTGCCACACATTAAAGAAACTTAAGTGGAACCAGAAGAAAAAGAAACAAACTTACTTTTCTTCAATCCTTAGTATGTTTTACTCTAGTGCTAAATAAAAATTCTATCTTCAAATGTTTAGTGGGTTAAATTGAGAAACTATTTCAGAAAAAAATTCTAAGGTTACAGCATATTCAAAGAAAAGCATTAGTTACCACTTTTTAAAAAGCTTTTTTTTCAAACTGCAAATTTCATAAAAATGCAAACTGTGTAAACAGGGCCTCTTATTTTTATAACTTGTGTAAAAAGGGAAAGCAATTCATATTTAAAGTTTAAGTATATTAAATTATAATCAAGAGTAAAGAAGATGTTGAAGTCTTAACTACTCGCCCCTCTCTACAGTTTAGCAAATGTGGGGATTGCTGAATAATCAGTCAGACTAAAACCAAAATTGTGATTTTAAGATTTCAAGACTTTCCATAGCTGAACTGGCTAACAACTTTTGCTTAATTACTCTGAATAGATGATCTTACTCATCCAGTATGGGGGAATGATACCTCGCGTCTTCCTCTTTCTCCACAGGAAATCAAAACACTGAGACTGAGAATTTTAGGGAAAAAAAAAAGTCCCCTGTTTAGATCCAGAAGGATTTTAATCATTGTTTATATCATTTGAGAATGAAAAAATAAGCTTTATAAATGAAATTCTATTCACATTACTGTGTAATAAATTTCCTTTCAGATGATTAAGATTCATTGTATAAAACTGTAAATCTTTGCCATTCTTGGAGAAGTAAGAGGAGAGTTACCAAAAATGTATGTCATTTCATCGTTGCAAGGTATAATAAAAACTGTAATTATTCAATCTGGCCCCACCATATGAACATTTAGAAAGACGAACTTCTTCAGGAGTCTCAATTGTAAAACCTTCCCTCATTCAGATCTGAAAATGTTAGTTTTCCTTTAAGTCCTAGAACTTATTGAAACATAAACCAATTTATATTATAGGTTATGTTATTAAATAACTATAATTATTAAGTTATTATTTTTATAATTAGTCGTTAAATTTTCATTTTATATCCACTCAAATTTAACAAAGAATCTTTAGCCCCTTTAAATTTTAGAATCAAATTAAATTTTTAAAGTCTTACTTCTAAAATGAGATTGTGACTGGCAATTGTTTACAGTGCAACTTTTTAAATTAATCTTTGTACTCCTCTATTAGTGCTTGCTACCAAAAGAATGTTCCAGATGATTTGTTTTACCCTGGGAAAATTCTTACTATTCAACAAGCTCTCAGTCGGCTCCCTAAAGCAGTCTGGTGTTGAAGTTTCTTTGAACAAACTAATTAGTATACTCATTTTATGTAAAGGTATCCAATTTGGTTTTGAAACCAAAATAGAAAATGCAAAATTCTAAATTCCATGAAACATGGAATTTATGACACCAAAATCAATGGAGAGTAAGTAGCAGAAAACTGAGAATTGTCCAGCATATGGATATAACAATGTGTTTTTAAGTAATCAATTCATTTAAAAATTTGAATATTAATACAAAGCATATTAAAAAACGTGTAAATATTACTGGTTCTCATGTCTTTGTATTTATATTTTATTTTGTTTTATTTTGTATAGCTCTGGAATGAATTAGTAATTAAACGCAAGGGTTTTTTCCAAAAAAATAATTTTATTGATTTTTTAAAATGTAATTAAAAGCATAGATTACAGTAATCTCTAACATTATTCAAATGTTTCTAGGGACTAAATTAGAAACTATGAAGAAATCCTGTAATTCCTTAACTGGTCTTTATGAAACAGAATGGGAGTCAGCAATTTCAAAATGATTGAACTATGAATAACCAGAACCTCAATAGAAAATGTATCCCTTCATCTCTCAGAAAAGACCTCAAATAATAACACAGAAAGCTGGTATCAGGGATTTGTATTTTGACATTTTGTTGTTCTTTTTTTAATTTTGTAGATTATAATCTCCTGTTACATCTATATCCACAGTACTGTAGAATAAGAATTCATGTCCTGAAAATGATCCTAGGCAATGAAAGAGTCCAGTTATCAAAGACATTAAGTCAGATTCATTTGTTCATTTTATTCCCAAGTCAGAATAAAATGAACTAGTAGGTATTAAAACTATTTTCAGTACTAGGGGTTAAAACAAAAAGAAATGGTTCCAGTTAACCAGAACACCATTTCCTGAACGTTATGGTCTTTAAAAGGTTCTGCTTTAGTAAGATTAAAAAGTATAAATGATGCTACTTTATTTTGGCAACATGGAAAGTATGTTTTTCTTTTCCAATAAATTCCATATTTTCATGAAATTTTTAAAAATAAATTTTTATTAAGAATTAGTCTGAATTTTATCATAATTGAAATTTATAATTACTAAGAATTAAATTTTTAATCATTTCTAAAGTTGTATTCTTCTCTACACCCACAGCCAAAATGGAAATTCACTGTATGGTATTTGGGAATATATTTCACCTGTAAAAGAAAGAATGTCCACAATTCAAAGGGTTTTGAGTTAATAAATAGGAATCCCTGAGTCAAACTACAGAATTTTTTTCGCTTTATATATTCTTAGTCAGCAAAGTATTTGAGCTATAATTACACATATTTCCACTTCTAAATCTTCTTTTAGAAAGCAGATAACTATAATACTACAGTTGGGTCTACCCCTAACTCCTGCTGTATGATATTGGACAAGTCACTGCCCTTTTCAGTTTCTCATCTTTAGAATGAGGAGTTGGGATTGCCAGTGGTTTTCAAGCTTTTCTTAACAGCAGGGCATTTGTTTCTAATAAAATTGCACATGGAATCCTGGTAGGCAAAACAGCTCGAAGAAATGCAGGAGTTTCTCCAACAGTTTAAATCAGGGCTCCCCAAAGCGTGGTTTAAACACCATAACAACATGCAATGATCTGTCAAGTGTCTTCCAACTCTGAAGTTCCACAGTTGTAATTTATTCAGATAAACCACCTTTTGAGGCTTTATAAGCAAACTTGTAAAAATCATAGTAATTGAATGATACACAATAAAAACTGACAGAGTGTTTACCACGTAGCAGTCACTACAGATATTAGCTCATTTAATCCTCTTATCAATCAAAAACTTGTAAGTATTCTTTTTAATTCCTGTTTTACAAGTGATGACACTGAGGCTTAAATAGAATAATTAATTTCCCCAAAATGACACTGCAGCTGAAAGTAACCCAGTTATTCTGACTGCAAAGGAAATGCCTTAATTGCTTTTTCCATCCTGAACAAAAAAAAAATCTGTTTTATGTCACTGTACATACTTCATTTGAATGCCAAGGTAAAAGCCACCATGAAAAACCATTACCAAAATAAGGATAATTCCAATAACAAAATTGTCAAAAAAGAATCACTGCTTCTCAAAGTATGATTGGTGTCATCACTTATTAATGTTTTGTATCATCACTTATTAATGATTTTGTCTTGGTCACCACTATGCCTAGAAGATAGTAGGGACTGATAAACATTGTTAAACACCGTAACAACACACAATGATCTATGAAATGTCAATGTCTTCCATCCCTGAAATTCCATGATTCTACTTTACTCAGATAAACCACCTTTTGAGGCATTATAAGGTAACATGTATAATCAAGTTCATACAAGCTATACACAGTAGGCATCGATAAATTTGTATTGACAGCATAAACTTCTAGGGATGGGATTTGGGAATATACATTTTGATAAGTGCCCCAAATTTGAGAATCATTGCTCTAGTAGATCTCTAAGGTCCTTCTTAGTTCTGACATTATATCAGATTTTAAGCATTAAATTCTAAGATGAAAAACATTTTTCTAGTCAGTTTATTTTTCATTCAGTCCACTTAATTGCCTACAATCTTAAAAAAAATATATTTTTTTCCTAGGAAAATTCCTATCTTTTTCTTAAAGTTACTCTGTTATACTATCTCAGTCTCAAAGTAGCCTGAAATGCATTTTCTCATTTTCGTATTTCTGTCCTTTTCTTCAGTGTCTTAAAAGACTTGAAGTAGAAGGGAGGTTGCAAGCTGTTATTTATTCAAACACAAAATCCTAATAAATGTTTCCTTCTTTGCAAGGGACATTCAGATCTCTAACTTGTGAGTTGAACCTATTTATTTTGTAAGCTTTTGACTTTACAAACATGTGGTATCCTCATTCTAAAAGAGTCGCACCAATATTTTTTCTCAAAATAGCCACAGGCTGTAAATTAAATTGAACAATACAGTAAAATATGCGGATACATACTAAACAGATGAGTGTGTGTGTATGTGTCTGTGTTTAAGCTTTTCCTTTTCCAAAAGATTATATATTTGAGCAAAATCCCATTCAGTCTGAATGTACTCATTTTGCCACATGGTTTTCTGATCAGCAAATTTTTTTAAAAAATGAAAGCATGATATTATATTTAATAATAGAAAAACAAGAGTGATCTCTAAATATAGCCTTGAAAGTTAATGTAATATTATGTATCCATACAATGAGTCAAATTAAATGGTTGATATAAATGTACAAATCAATCCAAGTCACACTGATTAAAGGGACTATTCGAATGACCAGCCTCACCACCTTTTACTGTGTGCACTTTCCTCTTAAGGCTTTATTGTATTTTCCCTGCTCCTTTAGGCTTTTTTATCATGTGGAAACAGTATCTAAATGCCATTCCCTCACTTATGAATTAAATATGGCTACCATTAATGTTCCTTTTTGTCAGTGGAGTGTATGGCAGGAAAATGAAACAGGAATACATTGCTTAAGTCTCTAAATATTAAAACAAACAAACAACAACAAAACACTTGCCTTTCTCTTGTGTCATTGCTTCAATGTTCTGTCATCTTCTGCAAGCTAGAGTTGCATTGTTGATATCTAATTAAGATCTAAATATCTTTCATGAAGGAATGTTAAATGTAAAGTCTGTTGAGTTGACCATGGTGAATCTCTTGATTGGCCCTCGTTTAATATCTGATTTCTTTCCTAAATGGGTATGTCTGTGAGGAAAAGATACCTCATAGTTGACATTGACCATGGGTATAATAATTTATTCTCCAGGATTAACTTCTAAAATTATTTTTCCTTTGATTTCTAACTGCCTCCTTCTATCCCTAGAGTAATACCTTGCCTATCTTAAATACATCTTTATCCTTGTAAAAAAATGTTTTGGCAAAAAACGAATATATTTTTTAATGTCCCATAATGTTTTAAAGGAAAGAAGTAAAGAGTATTTGGGCTATGCTCACCAATATTCCAGTATTTTACAAATTGTGTTCTGGAAGATATTCATTGTGGTCTGAGAACAAATGGTCCTATACTATAATTCTCTCTCCTTGGACATTAATAATAAATGTTAGTGTTTAATGAAGCTTAAGAAAGTTATTGAATGAGGTAAAAACTTTTTTTTTCTAAGCACACCTTGAGAAACCTTTGGAAAAGTTTTCTTTTAACACTAGTTTATATATCCTTCAATAATTGTAAATAAAATAACCAGGAATGCTTTGAAAAAATGCTTCTGGAATTTTGTTTTAATTTTAAGGGAATTCCTGTCATTTCAAATGAATTGTTATCTATTTTAAATTTCATTAGTATCTCTTAGTGAATTTAACTTTATCATCTAAAATATTCAAAACAATAAAATTTTTAAAATTGTTTTTGTATTATTTTTAAGGCTTGCACCTATGACCAGCATATCAGACCCCATCTGTTGAAGATGTTTCCAATTACTTGCAGTGTGGAATTAATGCCAGTGAATAATCTGCAGCAATGTTTTACTAAACAGCTTTAGGAAACTGAATCATGATAGATCCATGTTGACAGTATTTTTACATAAGCTTGTCAGAAATTATATTTAAAACATTTTGGGGAAAGCCAAGAGCAGTGCATTGTTTAGCACAGATTTTGCGAGATTCTCTACTCTTAATGAGCATTTCACAGGTTTTTGTTGTTGGTGGTGGTGGTGGTGGTGGTGGCTTTTTTTTTTTTGCTTTGCTTTACTTTGCCAATCAGTTGCTTTTTTAGCAAATCAACAACGTTTCTTTAAAAACTTCCTGGGTAAATTGTCTGTTATCATATAGAAAAGAATCAAACTGAATCACTTTACATTTCTCTAAAGATAGTTCAGTTTTTAATCCATCCAGAATTTGTGAATCAGCCTGATAGATCATAAGCCATGTATAATTTTAAAATGTTCCATTGAATGAGTATATCATACAAATGTTAATTCCATCTCACTCATTCAGTTTTATATTACTTTTATGACTTTTTATCTGGCAAAGTAAATGTTTGATATTATTCATATATCATCGCTCTAAGGTATTTTAAATCATACAACAAGTAACTATCACAAGGACCACTGTCCCAAGATCCAAAGTCAGATTTTTTTTTTCTTTTCAAGTTGCTAGAATGATCATTCATATAGCTGTTTTGACTTTTGATGTCAGAATTTAGTTCTTGCTTTGTTAAATAGACATACATGGAAGAGTTGTCTCCTGTCTAATTCATATTCTCTCTCTCTTTATCTCTCTCTCTCTCTTTCTTTCTCTCTGTGTGTATGTCTCTCTCTCTCCCCTCTCTGTCTAAGGGGAATTGGAAAATTGCTGCTGAATAATTTTTCTTGAAAAAGCCAAGTGTTGATATGATGATATATTAATCTTATTTATGAACAGAGCCTCCCTACAGGCCAAGCAGTAACGTATACAGCTGACTTTTTAAGTTGTTTGAACACGATTGTTTTTGATTAAAAAGAATTTTTGGGTTTTTTTACTTGTATAGTAAAAGATCATATGAATTAAATGCTCAGATATTAATTTTCATTCCTACTAAGTGGCCATGTAAGGCATTGATTTTTTAAAACTTGAACAATATAAGAAACTAGGAATCTCAGAAAGATTGTGCTGTGTTTCTATAGGTAATGAAATCCTGTCAATTAAGGAAAATGCTGTGTGTAATTTGATTTGGTGGTAGCCTTTATTTAGAGCTCTCTTTGATCCATGTAGCAAAAATAGACTAAATTTCTTTTTAATCTTGTACTGAGTACATAATTTCACAAAAATACCTTGGGTATAAAATATTTATAAAAGGAATTGTGGATTAAAATACTCAAGATACTTTTAAAATTTAGTCAAAATGTTGATTCCCAGCCTTTTTCCTACACGTCTATTTCAAAAAAGTATACTTTATTCTGACAGCCATTACTGCTTAGTCTGTGATGAAAGCTTTACTGCTTCTATGCTGTGCTCAGGAGAAAACCAACAACAGAAGCGAAGGCTTGCTCCTTCACAGAATTGCAGCAAAGCTCTCTGCTGGCAATGGTGACAGGAAAGTGTGTAATTGACTTGTTGAAGATAATCATGAGATCATCTGAACATTACTTGCCTTATAAGTTAGAAATAGTATGGATATCACTTTTTGTAAATAATAATTTTTGTGTTTTTTGTTCATAATTTTCCCAATCACCTATTTCACAAAATCCTGAATATGCAATTATTTATTATGACACATTACTGCAACTAGGGCTCCCATTCCAGAACAAAGTTAAATTCTATATGTAAGTTGTTACTGAAATGTGATTTCTTTTTCTGGAAAATAAATGAAAAATATGAAAATAAATTGAATTGTAAATCTCTTTTACTGTCAGCCTCTTAAAATTTTACCCTCATTTCTGGAAAACTTCATTCCATGTTTAGGGTAGGGATGGTGGGCCAAAGGTCTGACAAAGGTCAAGGGTTTAGAGTTAGACAAATCTCAGCTCTGTGATTTAAGTATCGACTTGAGCATGTTACTCAACGATTCTACATTTCCTTATCTTAAAAAAAGATAGAGCAATGTCCCCTATGTCATAGACGCTGAACAGATTCAATGAGATAATGTTTATCCATCACCCAGCAGTTCCTACCTAGTTCATAGTATATTCAGTCAGCAGTCCCTTCCTGATCTTATCTTTCCGTGAGTAGGGATTGGGATAGGCAAAAGAACCTATTGCTCTTCTTCCAACACTATCCTAACACTGTGCTCCACCGGAATCCCAATGTATTACTGTCAGTTAATGCTAATTGCTGCAGGACACTCATCAAGAGCCATGCCCTTGGCTAGGTGCTTGGAGGCATCTTGTGTCTGTTTCCAATGATTGCCCACTACAGGAGGGTCCCTATAGTGTTTATTTTGTTTGCTTTTGGTTTGGGGAGGCCCGATGGGCTTAGGCTGGGGATAGTCTCTAAGGAAGAGGAAAGGCCCATTCATACCAGCAGGTAGGTCCTCAATCCCAAACAGTCTCCATTTCAAAGCTTCTTAGCCATTAACAGGCTCGGAAGAGGCGTGTTAAGGAAAGTGAAAGAACCCAGTCCCGTTTGTAATACATTGGAGTTAAGAGCATGAGTTTCAGGGGCCCTGGGCATATTATTTAACATTTTAGAATCTCCCAATCCTTTAAAGGGAGAACATTCCTTTCTTGACAGAGTTATTGGGACGACTAAATCCCAATGTTTGTCGGTATCTGGGGTATCTGGCCAATGTAATCGCTCAATTACCTCCATCACCCACCGCCTGTGCCTTGGAGGGGGAACGTGTAAAGCAGCATTAGGGGTCGGGGAAAGGGCAGGGGCTACTTTACTTTGTCTTTGAGCCTCGGATTTCCTGTCCTAGGAAACCGCAGCATTTCCCACTCCTGCCCCCGACTTCAGCAGGGAAAGGAACTTGATGAGGGGCCCTCGGGGTGCAAATGCCTTTAGTCCCAAATGTCCTCCTCGCTACAGAATGAACCAGTTCCCCTCCAGCTTGCCTCCAACCCAGGACGCAGCGGGGCTCAGGCGACCCCCAGTGGGCAGTGAAGATGAGATCCTCTACATCCTTAGGGCAGCTCAGAGGGCCACTCAGCGGCCAAGTCCGGCCGGGGCGGGCCGAGGGCGCTGTTTGAGGTCACCCTGGAGACCGGCCTCAGAGTCCAGTGGGAGTGCGCCGGCGGCCGCCGGCTGAGTGAGGCCCGGGAGACCGGAGCCGCGCCGCGCGCAGCGTCTGCAGTGAACGAGCCGGAGGTCTGGGAGGCTCCGGGCGAAGCCTCCCTGCTGCAGGTAGGGTCGCTCTCTCTGCAGCGCGTCAGGACAGGGGGCAAGGGATCGGCCCTTTGTTGAGAAATGGCCCGACTCGGCCCCGATCTCTCAGTCACCTTATTCCTCCTCTCCCCAACAAATAAGAAAAAATGATCCCAAATTTGGGAACTGAAAGTCGGACCCAACCGCTCGTCCCCTGCCCCATTGCATGGCTGGGCTTCAAGAGTGGTGGCCAACGCAGAGCTGGCCAGCGAGGTCATCCCCTGACCCTGGGCGGTCTTCCTGTGGCTGGCCGCACCCATGAGGACCTCCAGGTCTCAACTCTGGCCTTTCTTGGGGAGGGGGCGGCCTGCAGGGCAGCTTTGGAAACAGCTGAGGTCGAGATGGGTCTACGTGGCTTTGCAGCAAAACCTGAATGACCCACCTAATCAGGCCGTGTATCTTCCCACACTCATAAACACACACACCTTCATACACACGAACACAGGCACCTGCACACACAGAGATGCACACTCACGGGTACACACTCAAGGACGCTTATACTCACGTGCACACACACACCACGCTGCCTCCCACACCCACACACAGCACCTCTGCTCTGACACTGATGCCATTGGGTTTTAGGATATGTTCATGTCTGCCCTACCCACTCAACTGCCAGCTCCTTGAAGGCGTGGATTTTCTTTTATTTTTAAGCTTTGGTGACTAGCACAGTATTTCCTTACTGGGGCTCTCACATTTATAGATTGTGAAATAATTTAAATGAATATCTAAATTTGTAGGTAGGCAGTGAGGCATTAGAGTTATAGTCTGGGAAGTCCATAGTTAGAGTCTGGGAAGTTATAGTTCTGGGAAGTCCTTTGCTACTACCAAGCTCTTTAACAAGTATTAGTAGGAAGGAGGGAGTTTTTCAATAAATTATTTATTTAAAAGTTAAGTCCTATTTGCTTCTTACAAAGTATGTAAATGTTGCTCGAGAAAACAAAACAACAGAAAATCTTTGAGAAGCCAAGGTTAATTTTAATTTTAATTTATTTATTTATTTTCTAGCCCCCTACCCCTAATATTATTTTTTAAAGTCATGGCAGGTCAGGCACAGTGGTTTATGACTGTAATTCCAGCACTTTGGGAGGCCAAGGCAGGAGGATCACTTAAGGCCAGGAGATTAAGACCAGCCTGGGCAACATAGACCGTGTCTCTACAAAAAATTTTAAAAATTAGCCAGGCATGGTGGTGCAGGCCTATAGTCCTAGCTACTAGGGAGGCTGAGGTGAGTGGACCGCTTGAGCCCAGGAGTTTGAAGTTACAGTGAGCTATGATCATGCCACTGCACTCCAGCCTGGGTTACAAGAGCTAGATCCTGTCTCTAAAATAATAAAATAGGCCAGGTAGAGTGGCTTACGCCTGTAATTCCAGCACGTTGAGAGGCTGAAGCAGGATTGCTTGATCCCAGGAGTTCAAGACCAGCCTGGGCAACATAGACCCTATCTCTACGAAAAATAAAAAATTAGCCCAGCACGATGGCATACACCTGTAGTCCCAGCTACTCAGGTGGCTGAGTTGGGAGGAACACTTGAGCTCAGGTGTTTGGGGCTGTAGTGAACCGTGATCATGCCACTGTGCTCCAACCTGGGTGACAGAACAAGACCCTGTCTCAAAAATAAAATGTAACAGTGACAGCAAATATTAATTAGCCAAGTTATATTATGATTAAATTGGGGGGCAATACAAATATTGGTTTCTGATGTAGGATAGCATCTTTCTTCTATACATGCATATCTTTTGTCAATGACCTCCCTCTTCATCAGTTAAGCATTTTTGCTATAGATTAATATCTGCTTATGTAAATTAAGTATACTATTGCATAAATAAGCATTTTCAGAGTTATCATAGTTCCAGTTTTACTGATCAGAATAATAACAAATACTATATATTGCTCTTGAGGAAACCCCACTTCCCTGTTCAAAAATGGTAGGAAAAGTATCCGTGTACTTTGAGGTTAGTCCCTGTTATACTAAAATGTTTCCAGATCTTTCTTTCACTGTTTTACAAAAGTCTTCTTCCATAGGTTATGATGATGTCAGACAATACTAAAGACAGAGCAGCTCGTTCATCGAAGAAAAGAGGGAGTATTTCTTCTCTAAGTAATCATGAATTTTGGCGAAAGGAAATTCATGGGCGCACCAAAGAGTGAGTAACTGTCTAAAATTGTAAAATCATTTATGGAGTAAATAGGTTCGTAATGTTTATTAGGAGAAAAAAAACACTTCCTCAGGGACATAAAAAGAGATAAAATGGGCAAGTACAAGGTTCAGGTCATCTTTAGGGGCCATATTTAAAAAGAAAAAGAGAGAAAGCTTGAGTGATGTGTTAATCCTAGCAGCATTTTTGCTATTTCAGATTATCCCAAAAAACCCTCTGCTCAAAAGAAACACCACATGGAGTGTAAACCAGACTCACTTATATGTCTTTTGAGTTCTTCTCCTCAATATTTTATAACACAGGTTTTGCACTTTTGTAATCAATACATACACATACAATGTACTTAACATTATTTTATTTAATTTTGTCATGTATTTTCATAGTTTTTTCCATACCCTCTTAAATGACTGCATAATATTTTGTCAACTTATGATTCTGGGTTGCTTAATCATTCTCTAATTATTGGACATTTTAAGTTTGTTTCCATTTTTTTCTCTTTTACTATATGTCTCTGCTTGGTCATTTCCCAGAAGAATAATTAGTAGGTCAAAGGGCAGTAAGTAGATCTTTTGGCTCTTGCTACATGTTGCATCTTTTCTCCTAAAGATATGCATTAATTTTTAATATTTTCATGGCATTTCCTTTTGACTGCTGTTGGGAAGAAAACAAAACAAATTATGGATGTAGCAGTCAATTAATCATAGACTTTCGTTCTTAGTTTCTATAGGATTGGAGGATGTAGTAGATTGGGTATATATTGGGAAGCAGGAACTAGGGTATCCTGCAGAACAGAGACTAGAAGAACTGGAATAATTAGAATTCTGAAACCAAAATCTTTCTATTCTCAGAGTGTGTTAATGCTTACTTACAACTCCACGTTCCAGCCCTGGAAGTCTGTGGATTACACATACAATGTCTTTTACAAGACTAGCAATCCCAGCACATGTCAGAAGTAAGGGTGGGAGAATAATTAATCTTTGTGATTTTTGCTTCTAAGCTCTTCTGGCTGCTATTTCCAATAGTTAAGTGCATGGGTTATTTTTTAAATTATTTAAAACTAATTGTTAGCTTAAATTCAACGTACATTTTCCAAGAAACTATTTAAGTAAGAGTCTGCCATAAATTATGTACCCATGATATTTTTTTAAATACTCTCTCCAAAGATTAAATTGTAATCCCTACTTGCATGACTTTCATTTATCTTTTCCCCTTCAAAACAAATTTGTCTTATAGAATCAGAGCATGGCTACATTTGAAGAATTAGAGATCATTCTTTTTAACCTCTTATTGATGAAGTATAAGTACATTTTAAAAGTAACAAGAATACAAAAATCATATTTATCAATACATTAGGATAGATTTTTCACTGACAACCACATTTAAATGATAGCTATTTTGGTTTTGGATTCTCAAACAAAACATTTAGAATGGATCCTCTATTTGTACTTTTTTTCTTAAATAGCAAATGATCAGCTTCCAAATCCCCTTGCAATGCAGACTATTTAGGAGGCTTCCCCCACCCCACGCTAACTTGTATTAATACTTGCTTTCCATTGGCTTCCTCACTGTCTGGAATTAGACAGTACAAGTTATTCTCCTTCATGAATGAGGCTTCAACTAGTAGAAAAATTCTGAAAGCTTAGTGACTATCAAATGCAGGCATTGTTTTGAAATTGCAGTGTTTTATGGAAAAACATATAACTTTCATTTGAAAATTACTTTAAAACAATTTTGAAAATACAAATTTCAATAATGTAAAACATTCTGAATTTTATTAAGGACTGAAATACATTATCTCATTGAATCTCCCCAGCATTAATCCTACTAGATAGGCATCATTTACACCACTTTACTATGAAATAACTGAAGTTTACAGGTCAAGTAACTTGACTTAATGATTAGGATACAGTCCCAAATCCTGACTATGAGATACAAAGTTCACAGACCCCTATCTACTTCCATAGCACCATCTTCCCCACCATCTTGCAGTCATCCTCCCCCTCCAGTCATACTCAATTATCCCTCAGTGCTCTATCGGGCCCCCAGCCATCGCCCCATGTTGCTTCCCCATGGGGTACCTCGACTCCTTGCCTGGAATGTTCTTCTTACACTATTCCCCTGGCTTTCTTCACTTCTTCCATCAGAATTTCACTTCATCTCCACCTTTTTGGGAAGTGCTGTCTAATTACTCATCTATGACCACCTCCACCTCCAGACCGGGTTGGGTGATCTGCCTTTCTTCTCCTACTGCTTTTGCCTTCCATATGCACCTATATTTGGTGACTTTCTCGTCTATCTCCTTCAATAGACTATGGACTTATTTTTTTAACAGTAACCACTCTTATAAAGAAGACAAGAAGAGTAAAGGCAGACCTCCTTGAAAAGCTGCTTCTTATATGTGGTATAAGATCACCATAGATTTAGCCCTACAGTCTTGGTCTCCGTGTCTGCAGCCTTCCACAGTTGTAACTAATGCTTCACAGTGATCCCCAGACAGAATGAATATCTAAAATGTCTTCTGAATTACAAAAAGAAGATTAAATTTATATTAAATATTATTGTGAACTGTTTTCAAGATTGGGTCTGTTTTTAGGTTATCTTTTCAATTTAATGTAATTTTTATGTTTTATTAAAGAAAAAACAGAAACATCTTAAGCTGGATCTTATTATCCTAACATGGTAACTGTTAGTGTGTTGGCATATTTCTGTTAGACCTGGACATACGTATATCAGACCCATACTGTCTGAGTCCAGACAGTACACTACATAGTTGTCATCATACTCCATCTGTAATTTCAAATTACTTTTTACCTAAACAATTTATAATAATAAGGATGATAATAGCTAAGATTTATAGAGCCCTTACCATGAACCTTATTTATGTACCACAGAAGCTCCATAATAGGAGTTGGCAAACTATGATCCAAGGGCCAATTCCAATCTGCATCTGTTTTGCTAAAAATGGTTTTTACATAGGTGAAAAAAATCAAAAGGGGAACAGTTTTTTTGCAGCATGTAAGAATAATAAGAAATTCAAATTTCTATGTGCATAAAGTTTATTGGGACACAGCCATTCCTATTCACTTATGTGTTGTCTCTGGCCACTTTCGCACCGTAACAGCAGAGTTGAGTTAGTTACAAAAGAAACCGTAGGGCCTGCAAACCCAAAAATATCTGCTATTTGGCCTTTTACAGAAATGTTTGCCGACTCCTGCTCTATAAAGATAGATGTTATTATCTCCCCCATTCGACAAATGAAAAAGCAGAAGCTTAGACAGATTGAGGCTCCAAAGCTACAGAATTAGCAAGCAGCAAAATGGGCTTTTGTTTATTAGTCGAGTATTTTCATTTCCTGAAAACTGGCAATCCATGTGGCATTTGCATTAATAAAACTATTATGTTCATTCACCAGAACCTTCTGTTTCCCATCCACAGTAACAGCAGGTCTTTACAATGACATCTTTCTTGTTGGAAGCTCAGGCTTTGGCAGACACTGAACAGTGTTTGAACAGATGTGCTTCTCTCATTTTCTTAAACTGGAAACAGAAGCTATGAGGTCAAGTTACTTTCACAGGATCATGTGACATGATATCCAGGCTTGTTATCTGTGAGGCCAGGAGTTCCACTAGTAGATTAGGGACAAGGTTGGGGGCTGAACATTCTCTCCTTTGCCTCAAACCAAAATTACAGTGATGCCATGTTACCAGAACTTTCTGTATGGATCCCACAGCTCCCCATGTGAACCCACTGATGGCATCTAACATGCCAGTTAGGCCACACTATATGTATTTCTTCATTTATTCAGGATTTATTAGCTTCTATGTGCCAATTACTGTGCCACGTATTAGGCATATAAAGGTGAATAACTATAGGTTTCTAATTTAGGTAAGTTCATTTTTCGGGGAAACTGAGAGTTGCCTGGTAACTTTTTTCACATTTGTCTAGGTCTTCCCAGTAAAAGTGCCCAAAATGGAAATGATTGCATTCATTACTTCATTTCAACAGTGATGAATGTATTCCATCATTCAATCTATACTACTGTGAGCTGTTTATAGGCAATTGAAAATGGTGTTGCTAGAACAATTTCTTCATTTTGATACCTGAAGGAGAAGGCTAGAGATTAGAAGATCAGAGTTAGGAGATAAGTTGTATCGCCATCTACATTAAACTAAAGCCCCCAACAAGATCTGCCTGAGACACAGCCTCCCCCAAAAAGAGAAAACAGTTTGGGAAAACTGAAATGGCTACGTTTCCAAATGAAACCACAATAACAACTAATATCGTATTGTACTTTATAGGTTATTAAGCCATTTCACATATGATATCTATGTAAGTTAAATAGAGAAGATATTTTTATCCCCATTTATGTCTGTAAATGGGGAAATTATAGATTGTGTTGGCAGAACACTGGCTCACTGTATGGAGGAAAATGAAGCTGACCTCTTACCTTATACGCTTTGCATAGATAAACTCCAGATGGAAGACCAAAATGTGGAAATCTATTAACAAAGCTAAGAGAAGAGAGCACAGACCCATACCTTTGTGTTCTAGGAGTAAGGAAAGATTTCTGAAAGAAGATCCCAAAATGAAAACTCAAATCATAGAGCAAAATAACTTTTGGGTAAATAGAACCACAATAAAATCTAGTGCTTCTGTTCAACAAAGGATGCAATAGACATAGTTAATAGGCTGGCCGAAGATACATATACGTTTTTTTAATCCTGCACATTAACAACTTATGCTAGGAAAACAATTTTTAAAATAGTCAAAGAAGACAGCAATTTTCAGAAACAAAGCCCAAATGGCTAAGCAGAATATGAAGAGTTGCTAAAACTCACTTTCAAGCGGAAACAATATAAATTAAAACAAGATACCATTTTGCGCCCATCCAAATGGCAAAACATGAGAAAAGAGAGCAATACCAAATGTTGGCAAGGGATGTGAGAGTAAAACCTGATGTCGCCATTTGGCAAAGAAAGTTAATAGTT